CCCCCCCCCCCCCCCCCCCCCACAGGTGCTCTCCAAATATGGTAACTGTACGCGTCTGCACGTCTGCTCAAAATTAAAAACAAGCTAAAAAACGGTTGTTTTTACAATAAAGTCGGGAAGAATTCTCAATATTTGGTGGGCGTTTTTGATAAAACAATTATTCCACGAGCGCCTGTTGGCTATGGGATGATTATAGCTAACTCGGCGCTACGTGCCTCGTTGGTTCCCTAACTTTTCATATCCAACGCGCACTCGTGGAATAATTGTTAACAAGAGAGGATAAAGGGGACAGAGAGGGGCATCCCCCATACACACCCTATTCCATAGGTAATTCGTCTCGAGTTATTTTTAAGACCACAGATCCCAAGGGGGATTAGATAACGGCCAATCAGATAATGCGAATGTGTTCTGCGTGGATAACCCACGCTCAGAGCCACGCGTCCTTCAGGAATTGACGCAGAACAAAATGGCGGAAGACGCGGAGAACGATATTGCTATTCGTTTTGTCGACGGGAACGACTACAGAGAGATTTCTGCTAAAGCTGTGTCAGCAAAACGGAAATTAAAAAAGAATCGCCCTTCCTCGCTTGTTTCTAAGCTTTGGTACGACGTTGATTCGAGCGAAGCTGAGAGTTCTAGCGAAGATGATGAGAAAGTCAGTGCAAGCGAGGAGGAAGCTGTCGACCGAAACGGAGAGTGCCAATGAAATACAAGAAAACGTAGAAAGCTCCTATTCCGACGATAGTTCAGCAGATGAAGCGAAGAGGGGGAATTGTGCAGGGAAGCCTAAGCCTGCGCCTTCGAGTTCGACCGTCACCAAATCAAGCAAAAAGTCGCCCGAAGAAATCAAATAAACGGAACAAGAGTCTTTCGGAAGAAGAGATGGAGCGATTCCCTTTTCCCAGGTGAGCGCCGACTCATTTCGCTTCAATATTCAGGAATGCTCCCGATCTCTTTACGCCCTTTCTTTCGCCCGACATGTTTTGCACGTTGTTTAGTCATGCGAAACCTCCACGAAACATCCACGCAGCGCGCGAGGTACATAACTTTATCCCGATTCTAAAAATAACTCGAGACGAATTACCTATGGAATAGGGTGTGTATGGGGATGCCTCCTCTGTCCCTTTTACCCTCTCCTATTGTTAATTATTTCGTTAAGGAACTTGACGTTAGCGAGGAATGACGAACCAAACGAAGTTCGACGTTTAGCCTAGGCCTAAGAACTTTGTTTGGTTTCGAGGGGGTACTTGGGGCTGGGTTAATTTTTGCTGGGTATGTGCCGCTGGCCTCTCAAAGCCCCTACCCCAATATAGTATATTCTAAGCCCAGTTATAGACGCCATCTTAGTCACTTTTGGCAAATGTAACTTTTGCGATGCCAACTTAGTCACTCTCTATTTATGTAGCTACCTTATCAATCCTTTAAGTAGGTCATCCTAAAATAGTTTGACCTAATTTTTTTTAAATTGAATGAAGAACACTTTACTTTCCACCTTAAGTACTAACATTCTGGTACGTTTGCTAACCGTAAATATGAAGAACAGTCTTACCCCAAAAAGCCGAAAATGTGCGACCCCATTCTAGTAATGCTATTGAAAATGCGACCCCATTACAGTCAATCCAGTCGTAAAAATGAGACCCCATCCAGCGGCACATCCCCATTAGCCTTTTATAAGGAGGTACCCCCCCCCCCCCCCCCNCTAAAAATAACTCGAGACGAATTACCTATGGAATAGGGTGTGTATGGGGATGCCTCCTCTGTCCCTTTTACCCTCTCCTATTGTTAATTATTTCGTTAAGGAACTTGACGTTAGCGAGGAATGACGAACCAAACGAAGTTCGACGTTTAGCCTAGGCCTAAGAACTTTGTTTGGTTTCGAGGGGGTACTTGGGGCTGGGTTAATTTTTGCTGGGTATGTGCCGCTGGCCTCTCAAAGCCCCTACCCCAATATAGTATATTCTAAGCCCAGTTATAGACGCCATCTTAGTCACTTTTGGCAAATGTAACTTTTGCGATGCCAACTTAGTCACTCTCTATTTATGTAGCTACCTTATCAATCCTTTAAGTAGGTCATCCTAAAATAGTTTGACCTAATTTTTTTTAAATTGAATGAAGAACACTTTACTTTCCACCTTAAGTACTAACATTCTGGTACGTTTGCTAACCGTAAATATGAAGAACAGTCTTACCCCAAAAAGCCGAAAATGTGCGACCCCATTCTAGTAATGCTATTGAAAATGCGACCCCATTACAGTCAATCCAGTCGTAAAAATGAGACCCCATCCAGCGGCACATCCCCATTAGCCTTTTATAAGGAGGTCCCCCCCCCCCCCCCACCTTGGGGTTTGGTTCGTCCCTAATTACTCGTAAAAGCAGATCTGTCATGGTTTGAAACATATCTTTCTGGTGGCTAACAGTTTGTCAGTATTGACGGTCAAAGATCAGACTCTCTACTTATCAAGCAAGAGGTACCGCAAGGAGGTGTCTTAGGTCCCGCACTGTTTTTGTTATTTGTGAATGACATTCCATTAAATCTAAAAAATTCAACTGTGGACATTTACGCTGACGACACTACAATAACCGCAAGTGCGCATTTCTCGGATCTATGCTCGATGACCCAACGTTTAAATTCCGATCTTGATGACTCTGTTATTGAACAAGTCTCTTCTCATAAGATTTTAGGAGTAGTTATAGATAGTCAAATGAACTGCGAATCACACATTGATGAATTATGTAAGAAACTTTCCAAACGCATAGGACTCTTGAAGCATATTAGCCCGTTTCTTAAGCAACGTCAAAGGGAAACCTATTACAATGGTGTCATAAAGCCCACCCTCCTGTATGGGAGCATGATATGGGACAGCTGCAATGTCGAACATCTTCAAAGTATTTTAAAACTTCAAAAAAGAGCGGCACGCATTATAGACAATAGACGCATCGAAACGCACCAATCACTGATTACGAGTCTTCATAGCCAATAACATCACGGCTTAACTGAAAGACGACCAATAACATCGCGACATAATTGACCAATCAGATCAATAACCAGAGTATAATACCATCAACTGACGTGATACAACTCACTTTGACTCTGAGGATGACTACCGCACAGGTTATCGAAACGTCAGTCACTGTCAACAACAACAGTCCTATTCAGGACTACGTTCACCCGGACGATCAAACTCAAATTTTTTAATTCGATCTGTTGTATAAACTAGCTGAATTTAGGTATTAAGTTTTTCTTTTTTTTTTTCCTACTTTTTTTGCTGTACAGAGGAACCCCGCCATGAAACCACCTCGTTATTTGCGGGACCCGTTGGTTGTATTTCCCGAGCAAAGTTTAATCACGCCTTTATTCTCTGACCTCAGCTCACTACTGTTGTTACTTAATTAGTATATTGTACAGCTGTTTATGGAGTCGTTAATGAAGTTAATAAAAAATATATATTCTCTCTCATCGTTGATACGACCACCCCATTTTTACTACCATCTGTTGGAGTTCCTTGAATACTTAATACAACCAGTCGAACGCTGTAAGGACAACTGAGTAAAGCTGTCAAAACCTGACACGCATTGAACACTATAATTGATTTTTTTTTTTTCAAAATATAAAAAGAGTTCAAGTGATATGTGATATATCAAACCAATTAATGGTCATATTTGTCATTAATTAAGTTCAGAAAGGCTTCATATCAAAAAGTTACGCTACCTCGTTAAGACAATGAGATTATATATGGCCCATTGACGGTGGTCTTTTTATTAAAAAAACGGCATTCCACCACTACGTTTAGTAACTGGGCCCAGTTGCATAAAATTAAACTATAACCTCGGGCCGTCGTAACAGCTGAGCGTTCAGCCCAGTCAGAATTCATATTTTAACGCCACGAAAGGGATAACATTTGCCTCTAAATTAAGCCGCCGTCAGAAAAAATAATTAAACTATTGATCATGCCGATCAATTGAGAATGAAAAAAGGACAGACAAGTCATTTCCATGCACTGGACAGTTAACAGCAATTCTTGTAAAATGGATCACTACTGCTACCCTTTTTCAGTGGATGTTGAAATAATGTCATCAAACAAATACTCAGTCATTAGTTAACAAGCTTTAACAAGTTCATATTTTCAATTTCTCTGGACTCAAACGAGATCGACGAGATCGACGACTCCCATTTTTCATCATGGAATCTCACTCAGCATATTAAGATCCAACATTGCACTCAAAGTTTGAAACTTTTGTGGGGAGCAGGTTCACCCCAAAACCATAAAATGATGCGAAGCTCTGCATCTTTAATCTAAATAAAACAATCCAGAACACCCCTTCGATTAGCCTCAGTACTGCTCCAATTCCGGAATATATTCCAAGCATTCTTATCCATGAAGTTGTCCGGAGTTGTCCAGAATAAGGTCAACCGAAGGCCGCGATAATCAGAAGACTAAAAACCAACGATTATCATCAAAGGTAAAGAGGAGATCGATGATATAAAACACTAACGCTGGCAATTCTTGAAAACCCCCTGAAGTGTCGCTCATTGCGGACACCTTCATTAAACGATCATCCCCCTATAATAAGGATCGCTCTTAAAAGCGGGCACTTAGCTTTATCAGTTTGGTCAGGGGCCGATTACCCTACTTTGGTGTCCTTATTAAAGAGGCTTGAGTCTGAAAGAGAAACAGTTTCACGTCCACCTTTACTTCATGTCACTCAAAGGATTTGGGTCGCATCATCATCTGTGAAGTTTTCAGTGCCTGGAGGTTGTTTTTCCAGTAGTACCAGACCATTCCTTTTGAACCCTGCTTACCAGTGCTCATGTATTGTCCGTTTAAATTAGAGTCATGACAGCTGTTATACCACCATGCACCCACGCTCTTAATTGCACAATTTCCCCCTCTGTTGC